CCAGCAGATTATGGATACGACTATAGCCGGCTGCCCGGAGTTGTAGCGTATCTGGATGACTCATCGTTGTGGGACGCACAGAAGAGGGGCACAGAAGGAGCCTGCACGCCGCTTTCAGAAGGATCGCTGAGGGTGGGCTCCATGTACGCATGGAAAAATGCCGGTTTGCAACTTCCTCAATCAACTACCTTGGATACATCATCGACAAGCACGGACGGCGCCCAGATTTGGATACATCATCGACAAGCACGGACGGCGCCCTGATCCAAAGAAAGTTGAAGCAATCACCAAGGTGCCCGTCCCTCAAGACATCTCACAACTTAATTCTTTCCTAGGTCTCCCAAGCTATTGCGGTACATTCATCAAGGAGATGTGGAGCCTGCGTGCCCCCCTCGAACTCTCTTGGCGAAGAATGCGAAACTCTACTGAACAAAGGAATGCAATGACAGTTTCAACAGAGCAAAAGCAATACTTTTTCCGGATCTTCTACTCGCACATTACGACCCTTAAAAAGGAAATCATAGTAGCCGCTGACGCATCAAACTATGGATTGGGGGCAGTGATCTCACATCGTTACGCAGACGGATCGGAGGAGGCAGTTGCACACGTCTTTCGCTCACTACAGCCAGCCGAGAAGAATTAAAGCCAAGTTGAAAGAGAGGCACTTGCGCTCATACTTGCCGTCCGAAAATTCCACAGGATGCTTCATGGGTGCAAGTTTACGCCTTTAACGGACTATAAGCCCCTGCTCGCTATATTTGGTTCAAAAAAAGGAATCCCAGTATACACCGCGAACGGACTACAGAGATTGGCAACGACACTTCTGTTATACGATTTTCATATCCAGTACCGCGATAGACAAATTCGGTCAGGCAGACGCACTTTCACGCCTTATTGCAACATACTATGCCCCGGAGGAAGAGCGAGTCATTGGTGCAATGTCCGCGGACGAGGACATCAAACACATATTTACCAACGCAGTTCAACCACTACCTGTCACAGCGGATGAAGTCAGAAAATGGACTACCTAGGATCGTCTTCTTCAACAAGTCAACAGCTACCTCAGAGGAGCATGACCGCCAAAAATTACGAATCCCAAGTTACTTTGATTCCACAATCGTCGGAACGCACTCTCGACTATCGACGGATGTCTTCTGATGGCCGATCGAGTGGTCATCCCAGGACCCCTGCAACCACGCATTCTTCGACATCGACAGTTATACAAAGGAGATCCTGAAATCGTACGCATGAAGGCCTTAGCCCGCAGTTATGCCTACCGACTAGGAATTGACCAGGATATCGAAAATACTGGGCGACACTGCACCAAATGCTCTAAGGTCGCTAAACTTCCGATCAAACCCACCCTCGCATCCTGGCCTCGACCCAATGGGCCATGGACTCGAATCCACGTCGATTACGCCTGCCCATATGAAGGAAGGTGTTTTTTGGTAATTTTGGTCGATGCATTTTCAAAATGACCGGAGATTTTCTACACCAATAGCATCGCTACGAACGCCACAATCGCGCTTTTACAGAAAACATTTGCAAAATATGTGTTCCCAGCGACACACGTTTCCAACAACGGACTACAATTCACCTCAGATGGATTCAGAAGATTTCGCGTAAATCACGGAGTTCACCTCAGATGGATTCAGAAGATTTCGCGTAAATCATGCACAGTCTAATGGACAAGCAGAGAGCTTCGTTGACATGTTTAAGAGAGCCCCATCGGAATCAAAAAGAGAAGGAACACTCTCAGGAAATCTGAGACCTTCCTTCCGACGTATCGCTCAAACACAAGTCCGACAACAGATGGAAACAAGTCTCCGTCAGAACATTTCATCGGAAGAAAACTCCGGACCAATCTAGCTCTGCTCAAGCCAACCTCACAGCAGGAGTTAAAATGCAATCATTCAATGGAATCACGGTCCAATAAGCATCATGGCGGCCGAAAGCGTGTTTTCAACCCAGGAGATTCCATTCTGGCACTTCAGTACCAGGGGAATCGAGAAGAGTGGAGCAGTGGAAAAGTACTCGAACGAGTCGGGAAAGTACTCTAGAGAGTTCTTATAGGCAACAAAGTCTGCGTTCGACATGCCAATCAACTCCGACTACGCTACTACGACGATGCTATAACGCAAGCCAGGACATAGATACGCTTTTCGAAATGTTCGACCTTCCACAGCAACCGACACCTTCATTTCAGTCAGCTAGCTTCTCACTACACAGAGAACAGACACAGCACACCGAGCAAGCATCATCAGTGGATTACAGCCATGTCTACCAACCACGACGATCGACGCGTACACGACGACCAACAACTCGTCTCCAAGTGGAACTGCATCAGAAGACCTATCGTCAATGATGATACGAAAAGATCAGTATTGTATGTAATGCTCTCCTCAAAAGGGGAGGTGTTAGGTATTCACAGATTACTGGGGTCACTGAACGCTGATATGACTTACTAGGTGTAAACACAGTATATAAACCCAGTAATTTATCAGTGACTACTTTTCCCTCTTATCATTTCCTCTCAGTCGGTTCGACCAATAAACGTTCCTGATATACCTGGCTATCAACCGTCTACCAGCGGCTCACAGACATAACAGATACGTAGCTAATACCTCAGAATGTAAATATCCATTTTATGGATTCGGTAGCCCATATATTTGATTTCCATGTGAATGAATATGTCACTGTGTTTTATAACGGCTACCTCACGCTGCAACTAGCCCAGTAACAAACTGATGATTTTCATGTGTATGTTGTGTTCCTTAACTCGGAATAAGCATGTAAATGAAAGGAGTAATAAAAATGAAGAGATTCCGATAAAGGATAGGAAGGTAGGATTAGTCCGTGTCAGTTGTTACTGCTGTTTTGCTGTTTTACGGAAGTGTCTGGTATCGTATTCCGGTTCACCTCATTAGATAAAATTTTCAGGAGCCATTTCGACCCAGTTATAATTTTTACAATGACAAGAATGTGAGTGGAAGTTTACGTATTCTATGCGTCACCTCTGACTTTCTTGAGCACGCACAGACGATCGTAAACCCCTGGCCCCTTTTCATCTCCTGTGCTACAACCTGATTCTTCTAGTTAATTTCAATTTCGATTCTGACTCTTGAGGCCAACTTCGAATTTCTGCATTTGGATTTGCAAAACTATTAACATGGAAACACTTTTGCTTTCTCAAAAATCACCCGATTCGGTGTCGAGAGATGTTAAGCCAAAGTTCCTTTTTATTGTTAAAAATAACACCCTCATGTGGTTCGACAAAGAGCGCGAAGAATGATAATAAATAGTGCGAAGTTCCAGAATAGAGCGAGGGACCGCCCATTCGTGCTCTTGGAGTGTGGCTTTGACGTATTGTGCAATATGGAGCCTGGCGTTGTCGTAAAGTGATATGGTTTCGCCTTTTTGTGGGGTTTTTTAGTTACATAGCCTCTTTCACGCGATGTAGGCTAAGTAGAGCTCCTCGGTGACCGTCAGATTTTTCTATGCATTTCCCAATATTAGGTTGAGTAAAAACTTTCATCGACTTTTCATCCCTTTCTAAATTCTTTCGTAGGTCTACTCGGACGAAAAAATTTCGTAATAAGTTACGGCAGACCAATCACGAACTTGTACTTTAGGGAAATATATAAGCATGCCCTTATGAGAGTTTCACAAAAATGACTTCATCCTTCAACTGCCGGCCGAAGCTATCTGAGAGCTGTCGCTATTACGAGTTACAGTAAGGGCATAATCTATCGACGGCTGTCGCAGATAACTTTGGTGCACTCAGAAGACGCTTTGTATCTCAGCCCACGGGCGCCTCGAGAAGAAACACCTTCAAGACAGCAAAAAAGAGAACTACATCCGAGAAAGGTTCTGCTGTGTCGCTGTTGAGATTCTCAGGGAATGTTCTACTCTGGATAACTTCCTGCTTACTCCTCCGTGACCGCCGAAATTTACGCTTCTCATCTACAGAGTTCGACGGACCTTTTTCAAAGAAAACGTCCGCAGCGAGGGGATGTTTGTCTTTTCACGACAACGCTCGACTGCACGCAGCGGAACTATCTCGTCATTAAATTGCCAAACTTGGGTAGGAAAGGCTCTTCACCCTCCTTATTCGCCAGGCCCGTCCGATTACCATTTGTTCTTACTCTGAAACATCGACTTGGCGATGGAAAGTTTGATAATTGCTCGGGAATCAAAACTGAGAATCCCAGTTTTTCGAATGGCACCAGCGGCCGTTCTGGGCTTCAGGAGTCGGAAAACTGCCGGATCTTTGGATCTACATATGTTGTGGACCACGATGGAGGGTTGATTACTATTTGAGATCCTTTCTTGATGAAAATAAGAGTTTTTGAAATAAAGATGACAAGTCGATCAGAACTTTTGACTCAATCTTATAATACCCTCCTAGCTCACTGAACACAGATTATGGTCTTTTTGTATGGTGGTCAGGAGCGATTCACTTTTTTCTTTGCTTCATACTTATGTATTCTCTGTCTTTGGTGCAGAGGTCAGAGGTGCTTTCAGGCCTTGATGAGAAGCGAAGAAGAGCAGGAGTGAAAAATGTTTTACATTTTGCTGTTTGCTGCTCGATCGCTCCATGAGACGATTGTCACAGTCTTGTAAATGGAAGAACCTTATCGAGTTAGGAATATTCACTCTTCCCGAACAGTAAAAAAATGGCTGTAAAATAAAGAAAATATAAAAGTTTCTACGAATTTTCGCCCCCATCTCTCATCGCTCTTGGAAAAGTTATGTGGAGGACTCATTCTCTACATTTGTGAACAACATACCAAACCACCATGCGATACAGACAAAACTAACACCAACTGACTGAACCAAGAGAGATTGAACACTTGACTGGCCAGACCGAGTACTGACCCTGTTTTCAACCCGCGGACCATGCACGTAGTAGAGCGCCAGTTGACACTGACCCACTTCCGCTTGAAAAAAGAAATAGGTCCCTATCCTGCACTATCTGAGTGTCTACGTGTAGTTTGGAATTATTCGATGTATTCTACATTGCGTCGCCAAATGATACAGCCACTTCATGTCTTCTTGTCGTTTTTTAGTTCAACGCAACGGAATTGCTTCAGTTATGTAACGTTCTTCATTTTCA